TAATTTCCTGCATCTGGGACGTAGCCACAAGAATATAGGGTGGGAAATATGTTTTGGTGGGGAAAAAAAAACCAGCAAGAAAAGCGGATAATAAATGTAGTTTACAACATATTGTACCATATGTGGCATGAAAGAACATGACCATTACAGTTTGGGAATGTTATTTTGTAGGAAGGGAGAAATAATTTGTGAAGCAATGTTCTGAAAACCTTCTGCATGTTATACGACTGTTTGAGAAAGTTGAGAAGGCGGTGTTAAATAATAATTTATTGGTTAATAATGAATTAATAATTGACATCATTTGGTTCATATTTGCCAGTATGGAGAACATTAACGAAGGAATTTCTGTAGGTTCTTGGCTATTAGCTTCAAATTTTCAGAAGGGTTTTGCTCCTTAAATCCATACCAGAGACCCCAGAATATGGCCAGTCTTCTGAAATGCTCAGTGTGTATTAACTCCCAGTTTTGGATAATTTATTAGCAGTAGATGTGTACATAAGATGAAGAATAGTGGCATACAACTATCTGAAAACACGAAAAGTTGACTGATTTTCCTCCCAGCGATTTCAAAATAATAAGTTTGTCCATCTCTGCAACGACATATAAGCTTTGTGACCCACCCCTTGAGTGGATAGTTGTAGAACTTTACCTGTGCAGTCAGTAGACTCATAATATATACATTTAGTCTATAAATGATGTTTTTCTTGGAAATCTTGCCCTTGAGATGCTTAGCTTGTACGGGAATGTGTATGCATACGTGTGCCAATGACATTTGTATTGGAGTCCTGTTGTCGGTCCAGCACAGACACACATACACAAACACATGTTTTGTGGGGATTGTTGATGCATCTCCACCAAGAATTGTGAAGCACACACCACAGCTTTATCATTCAGGAATGTCACATCAGATGCATGGATAATTCCAGTTGTGTTCAGTAAATGAAATCTCGTAATGAGGTGAGGTGAGATCGCCAGGCTTTCATGCTTCCTCCCTCTTTCCAAAAAAAAAAAAAAAAAAAAAAAAAGGGGGGGTGGGGGTGGGAAAGGGTTCAGTCTCTTAGCTCCTTTGCCATAAAATTCAGTGCCTGGAGACAGGGTGTGTTGCCAGCTGACTTAATAAAGCCTTTAAAGTACTGTGAGCACAGCTGACACCACATGTTTCCACTGGGACCATACAAACATAGATTGTTAGAGATTTGTATTCATTCAAAATGACAGATATTACTGTTGCTCTGAAAGGCTGCACGCTGAACCTTGGCACCAGTGAGCATCCAGGAAGTGGGAGAGGTGATTCTTCACATTTCAGAAGCCACTGAGGACAGGTAGAATTCTCAGTAAGAGGCTACGGGATTCTCCTATGATTTGAACTACACTCAGCAGTAATGATACATTTCAAATATTTTAATGATACAACTGAAACATCTTACTATTTGCATGGCTAGAAAACCACAGAGAAATATCTGATGTTCTAGAAAGCACCTTCTAAAACAAACACCAATAGATCCATTTTATAAGACACTATGAAGACTTTCCTATGTTTGTAATGCGAGGTTGGAGAGTGCTGCCCACCTTTGGATTCAAATGTGTTTCAAGTCCTATGTTAGAACGACACACAGGCATACATCACCCCCACCGGCACCTCTGGTCACTATAGGGTGGAAATATTTATGCAGGCCAGAAGGGAGGAAACAAAAACTACAGCCACTTAGAGAAACCCAGAAGAATAGAAGTCCACATTAGTTTAACAAGTAGAGGGGTGGGTGAAGTTTCAGTTAGTTTTTACTTTTTTTTTTTTTTTTTTTTTTTTATTTTTTTACAATAAAATGTTTTGAACATCAGTGATGCTGAGAAATAGGTTGGACTACAAATATAACAGTAAGTGTTCCTGGCACAAGTAGATCAAAAGTTTATAAATGTGAGTGTTGCTAGAAATATGAGAAAATTCTAAGGGAAGAGTCATGGTATTCTCATGGTGAGTTTTTGACCTTTTGAAGTTTCCTTCTGCAGCTGCAGAGTGCTTTTATACCAATGTGATTTAGAGCTTTATATCATTTTAAATGCAAGGAGAATAGAAGAGCAAAACAAAAGAATGAAGAGCACAAATAATGCACCTTAAAAAAGCACATTAAAATAGTTTAGAGTTGCTGCTCCTTTCACTAATGTGGAAAAAGTAGAAAGCATAGAGGAGGATTAGAACGGCTATGTTAAGACCCTATTATCTACAATATACAATTTGAATATCTTCCCCATAGATGCTCAGTAGGATCTTTCCCTTCCAGGAGTATTCAGAAGGAATCCCTTCATTGAACTGCACAGGAATTATAAAGGCTTTCCTACTGCTTCTGAATCATGCAGGAAATATAAAGCCCTTTAGCAGTAGTCTGTCTTACAAAATGTCTGTGTCATTTTTATTGTATTTTCATATTTCAGTAATACTTTCTGTATCATGTTATTGGTAATTTATACACACACTAATTCCCTCAAAGAAGTAACTAAATATATGCAAAGACAGGTAAAGTGTCTTTATCTAAGCTATGGTTTTAGATGTGAGCAACCAATTTTCTTTTGTCTGTTTTTTTAACTTATGGAAGTAGTGGTTTCTCTTCATGTGTGCTGTGGTTTGAACTCAGTCGATAGCCAATCACCACGTGGCCAGTTGTTTACTTCCTGCTCCCCACCCCATCCCCCTTCCCCAGTGAAATAAGGGAGGAACAAAAGAAGAAATTCGTAGGTTGAATAAAAAAATATTTAGAAATACTAACAAAAACAATAGTAGGTCCAAAATGGGTAAAATGCCACAGTGGTTTACCAAGCACAGCGACAGGTACGCAGCTCACTCCTGACCAGAAGCCATCCGACCACAGCAGAAAATCCCGCCAGAAACCAAAATGGGGCATGAGAGAGCACTATATACTGAGCATGATGTCACATGATACTCCAAAGACTGATCCAGACCTGGTCCTCTAGTTGTGCTCCCTCTTAGCCGAAGGAAAGTCAACTCTATCCTGGCTGAAACAAGGACAGTCTCCACCCTTTATTCCGTACCATTTACATTATGCTCAGGTTACAAATACATTCTAATGAATCACCACCCCTCTCTCGGGTCTCACAGATATAATTCCCCTAGTCTATGGGCCATCCTTCCAAAATGTCTACTAAGTTCATTTAGTCCATAACTTTGGGTTCCATCTGTCATGACGGTCTTTAAGGCTGGAGGAATGAAATGAGGTTGGCTCAGTCGGTGAAGAAGGATGTTGTGAGCCACCAATTGCAATAAAGGGTTATGTGACAGTTCATTGGCTATTTTCACTTAAAATCAAATCCCCTTGAGGCACACATTGGATTTCTCTGTCCTTCTGCACTACCCAGGTCCTTGTGCAAAGATAATCCCACACGTGTGTTTACTTTTACCCAATGCAGGAATAACCCAGACAGTCTTCCCCAGCACAACAGGGGCTTTATCCCATTCCACAGTATGTAGGAGGTTAGAGCAGGTCCAGCTTGCTTGGCAGATCCTCTGGTATTGACTAACCGGGTGGCTTTTGATAAATGATGTCCCAGTGTTTGAAAGTTCCATTACCCATTGCTCTGTGTAGTTTTTAGCAACTCATTATACTGACCAATTTTTTCCAGAGGCTGGTGCATGGTAGGGAATGTGATATATCCACTCAGTTCCATGTTCTTTGGATCAAGTGTCTCTGAGGTTGTTTTGGAAATGTGTCCCATTATCTGACTCAATCCTTTCTGGCGTGCCATGCTTAAAAGGCCTAAAACCAGTGTTCCGGGCAGCAGCCTGGGGCACAGCATGAGTTTCCAACCAACCTGTGGCTGCTTCCATGATTATAAGCACATAGTGTTTGCGATGCTTAGTTTGTGGAAGCATGATATAATCAATCTACCAGACCTCCCTATATTTATATTTTAACTATCATCCTCCATACCAAATGGGGTTTAGCCATTTGGCTTGATCATAGCACATGTCTCACATTCATGGATTACATGTGCAATAACATCCATGGTTATTATTTTCTCCCCTTTCTCAAAAATTTCTTCTGCTCTATTACCCCATATAATGATATCATCAATGTACTGTAAGTGTTCCTGGGCTTCACCCTGTTCCAGTGCAGCATGGATCAGTCCATGGCAAATGTTGGAGCTGTGTTTCCACCCCTGGGGCAGTCAATTCCAGGTGTATTGGACATCCCTCCAGGTAAAAGCAAACTACAGCCTGCACACTGCTGCCAGAGGGATGGAGAAAAATGCATTGGCAATATCAGTCGTGGCCACCCTCAACTATAGTTCATAGTGCAGTTCCAGCATGTCTGGTAGGGCAGTACTCAGCGGTGGTGTGACTTCATTCAGGCCACAATAGTCC